CCCCCCCCCCCCCCCCCCAAAAAAAAAGAAAGGTACTTTTGGTGTATAACACAAATGCACTCACTCTTGAAACACAAATGCACTTACCCTTGAGGGATTTTAATGAGGGGAAAGTGGAGCTGATAGTAACAAGCGATCTCAACAGATTTAAGGAAGGAGCTAGCACAAAGAAACCGGCCATTGATATGCGGGTGTTCCAAGCAGAAAATGTGGGCTGCAGTAACATCTTCCAAATGTACAATTGGCACTTTTCCCAACAACTCCTCTAGAAACCTTAGGCCTTGATACCTATTCTTATCATTCGTCGCTTGGGAGACCATTGAACCCAAGCTCTCCGGCATCCATGACTGAAGCGTCTCGTGCCCTCCAACAAGGCCGAGAGCAAGAGATGCGACTTGTATGCCTTTCCCGTTGTAGCTCAACACTTCCTTCTCTGCTAATGTCTTTGATCTCGTGTATTCCTATACAGTATACACAATGCATGAATTGAATTACAACTTTGGTCCCATATACAACAAACCCGGTAGAACCCCACAATACAAAACTATGTAGCCGTGGAGGGTGTGTGTTAGAGTACAATACTTTTCCTAGGCTAACAACCACAAACTTGAGCTTTTGGTTGAATTGGTTCGTTGACAGCTTGACAGTTCGTAAACCTTACCCCTACTTGAAAGTAGAGAGACACTATTTCAAGGGGACTCCCAGCTCAACACAAAAGCACAAATAGAGAAAACACAGCACAAAACCCAAGACATAGAAAACAAACTTGTGCAGGCTACAAACGTAGGCAACAAGGCAGAGAACAAAACAGCAGCAACAACTACAAACTAAGGTCCAAAGGTCTACCCAACCACTACAATTCTTGGTCGCCGGGATCCTCAGTAAGGCTCTAATATGTTGAAAGCTTTTTGAACTAGTTGTTGTAATTAGTTAGATCCGACCCTATTTACTAAGACAATAATAGATGAGGATAGCAAGCAATATACCACAAAGTGATCGATACGGTAAGGAGTTGGGAAATCAAAAGGAGTCCAACAAGTCTCGTCCATGGTGTCCTTGAAACCAGTGGCGCCGTCCATCAATGGAGATGCAGCCACCACACTGGCGGTGTAAATGAGTTTCTTCACAGTCCCGGCTCTGATGCACGCTTCCGCTATGCTCCTGACTCCAGCAACAGCTGCCTCCCCCGTGTTCTTGTACTACATATCATCAAATTGGGAAGAAACGTTGAGTATAATTTCCAATTTTAAAGTGCAAATTGAGAAGGAAATGAGCTTAATATCATGGAATCATCAACTGCAGGGTCATCACAAACATACACACAGTGAAATCAATCAAGGGTTACAAAGAAAAGAAAACCTGGGAGGTTTGTGGGGTGTGCTGCAATGGAGTGGCCATATGGATGACGACATGGCAGCCATGAATGGCGAGAGCAAATCCATCAGGTTTGTAGACATATGCCTCGAACAATTTCAGTTTCGAATCCGCATTAGGAAGCTCTTTCAGAAGCCCCACCTTCGTCGGATCTCCTACAAACACCAAAATTTTCAACGAAAAAAAAAACAAAATCAAATCTTAACGCCACGTGAAAGGGTGATAAAACGCGCCGAGATTCCTGAGAGTGGCATGGACGGTGTAGCCTCTCTGCAACAAGGTCTTGATGAGGAAGGAGGCAAGGTAACCGGCACCTCCGGTCACACAAACAATCATCATCAACAATCAACAATCAACAATGGAGATCGATATAGCGACACCCTGAAGTTTCTGGAGCAAATTATTCAGAACCCCCAACAAATCCAAAACTTCATATCATCAGCATCTAACTCCAAACGTCATCCAAATATACGGTCAAGAAAACTTATTTGTTTCTTTTACTTTTTTTGGTTCAAATAATTACGCTCTTTTGATCGTAAATACTAGAAAAATATTTTTTATTTTAATATAAATTTAATATAATTAAGTTCTCGTTAAAATATATTTTGGATGTAACAAAATTTTACCACATTTACATATTCAAATTAATCTAATTTGAATTTAAAAAGTATCACTTTTTTATTAAAAAAATCGAAAAACAAGAAAGATTTTACGGAGACGAAGATAGTAGTAAACTTTAACATTAACATTTTCAAACTTAATCAAAACCATTAAATTTTTTGTTCCAAATGCTAACGTGATAAAAAACAATGTCCTAAACAAGGCCAAACACAATCAACACCATTAAATTTTTTATTCAAAACGCTAACGTGATAAAAAACTAATATTCCCAAACAAGACCTATGTCACACACCACATTAAAAGGTAGAGTAGGTACACCTCACATTTGGCAAGTTTAACCTTTTTACAAACAAAATAGGAACAAAAAACCAATAAATGTGATTTGATTAAACGGAATAGGCTTTGAGTTTGGAGGCGAGGCGGGCGAGTGCGTTGGCAGAAGAACCATCTGGCCCGAATACCCGATGAGCTGCTTCTTTCAGCTCTCTCATCCGTTTACGCACTTCTTTCGCCTCGTCCCCTTGTATCAATGCCTTTATCGTGTCACCAATTTCATCTCTACCTACCACCCCGTCTTCTCTGATTTTTGGCCTCAACGCGACTTTAAGATCTTCTATCAACATCACCGCGTTCATTCTCTGCTCGGCGTACATAGGCCAAGCGATCAAAGGAACCCCTCGGACCACGCCTTCGAGGATCGAGTTCCACCCACAGTGGGTCAGAAACCCACCTACGGCATCGTGACTCAAGATTTGAGATTGAGGAGCCCAATCGGGCACGACCAAGCCCAACTCCTTGGTTCGTTCCCCGAACCCTTTTGGCAGAAAGTCAAAAGGGTTGGTCAAACTCTGGACGCTAAAATAGGCAGCGTTGGAAGCCGCGTCATTTGGGCACTTGACCACCCATACGAACCGCTGCCCGCTTGCCTCCAAGCCATTCGCGATC